ACTTGAACCGGTTGACCATCAAGAATAGGTATCCTCTCCCGAGAATCGAGGATTTGCTTGATCAATTTTTATCCGACCAAGTGTATCTCCTTGGTGCGCACCAGTGTTATTTGTAAAGAAGAAAGATGGAAGTTTGAGGATGTGTATCGACTATCGGGAGTTGATCCGTTTGACCATCAAGAATAAGTATCCTCTCCCAAGAATCGAGGATTTGTTTGATCAACTAAAAGAGGGCTAAGTTATTTTCCAAGATTGGCTTATGATCTGGATATTATCAATTGAAGGTTAAGGTGAGTGATATACCCAAGACGGCCTTCAGAACTCATTATGGACATTATGAGTTCATAGTTATGCCGTTTGGTTAGACAAATGCTCCAACAGTATTCATTGATTTAATGAATTGCGTATTTTATCAATATTTGGATCAATTTGTCATAGTCTTCATTGGTGATATTTTGATATACTTCAAGAGTAAAGATCAACATGAGGAACATCATAAAATAGCATTAGAAATACTGTGTAAGGAAAAATTATACGTCAAATTTAAAAAGTGTGAATTTTGGTTTGAGCGAATTGGATTCCTCGGTCATGTAGTTACTGCCTAAGGAATTGAAATGGATCCAGTAAAAGTGGATGCAGTACCTAATTGGAATACACCGACTAACGCTGGTGAAGTTTGAAGCTTTCTAGGAGTAGCTGGGTATTATCGGAGATTTATAGAAGGATTCTCCAAAATAGTTGGACCAATGACGCAATTGATAAGGAAATGAGTAAAGTTTCAATGGAAAGATAAGTGTGAGCAAAGCTTTCAGGCGCTAAAGCAACGATTGATTACAGCACCGGTGTTAACTATACCCGAAGGTTCAGAAGGGTTTGTTATATATAGTGATGCATCCAAACAAGGTTTGGGATGTGTGTTAANGTTTGGGGTGTGTGTTAATGCAACATGGAAAAGTGATTGCCTATGCATCAAGGCAATTGAAGTAACATGAGCAGAATTACTCGACGCATGATCTAGAACTTGGGGCAGTAGTTCATGCATAAAAAATATGGCGCCATTATTTATATGGAAGAAAGTGTGACATTTACACGGATCATAAGAGTCTCAAATATTTCTTTACAAAGAAGGAATTGAATATGAGACAGAAACGATGGTTGGAGCTAATGAAGGATTATGATTGCTCTATTTATTACTATCTAGGTAATGCTAATGTTGTTGCCGATGCTCTAAGTAGAAATTCGATGGGACATTTAGCATCATTTGATCAAAGACTAAGAAAATTTGTGAATCAGAGTGGTTACCATACTAGAGCAAGTTACCAAATTTGTGAATCAAAGTGCGACATTACTTAACTTAATGTCTTAAATTTTTAGACTTTTAAATAACTTATAACTTGTACTTTCATAACCTTAAATGGGCCGAGCTTCCATAACTCGTTTCTTAAATGAGCTACATCAACCAACTTAAGAATATAAAATTCGAGACCTTACATTTTTTTCCTCCCAAGCCAAGAACTTCAAAACCCTAGTTTCTTAAATTTTGCCTTGACTTTTCTCTCTAATTTTCTTACGACATAACCTCTTTTTATGACCTAAATAATGTTTATTTATATGTTTGGGAGAATTTTGGGAGTTTGTGCTTTGAAAATGAGTCAAGACGGATTAAATAATCAAAAAGAAAAAAAGACGTAATATATTGCTTGTGGGTCGAAACGTGGCCTGGACCTCCACAAATAGCCTACCTAACTGGACTACGATTACAGTTGATATTGATCAACCTTCGACCTTTTTCCCTTTTCTAACTTTTGTTTCATCCAATTTGGGCCCCAACTTTACTTTTTTAGTCCGACTTTGGTCCTTCAAGTTTTTATCAATGTTTTGTCCTTTTTCATTCTAAACTTCAATTTCAATGCTGAAACTTCCAAAATCTTTTAGACTGGTCCGCCAAACTTTATAATCTTCTGAAATTGGATCGTTTCAAGTTTTGAAAATGAGGAATTTAGTCTCTAAACTTTTCAAAATTTGAATTTCACCCCCGAAGCACCAATAACTCTCATTTTACTTCTAATCAATCTCATGCCATCTGGTTAGTCTTTATTGCACTGATCCATTTTCAAATTAGTTCAAAATTAGATATGACAACGGGGCAGGTATGGGACGAGTAGATCATTCCCACCCCCGTCACATCGGGTATTTTTGTTATTTTACCCCATCCCCATAGGGGTAGGTCATTTGCCCCATTTATCGCCCTATTTATTTTTTATTTATTTTATTTTTTGCTTTTATTTTTTTATGTCTTTACTTAATAAATATTATTACTTTTTTACCAATTTATTATAAACAACTTATGTTCTCTTTAAAAATATGATAAATCTATTATTTTTGTTTGATAAAAAACTTAAATTTAAAATTAACTTTAAACGGAACGGGTAGCGGGGTGGGAACTACATAATTCCTGTACCTGCCCGGTACCCGTTTCGGGGCAATGACCCCCACCCCATCCCTGCCCCGCCCCGTTTACCCGATTAGGCGGGTAATCATCTCCCCGTTGGGGGCATGGTCCCACGAGTTTCGGGTTGAATGCATTTTTTTGCCATCCCTACTCAAATTCTCCATTTTTAGTGCCAATTGCATTCAAGTTGGAGTTTTTCAACAATTAACATAACTTAGACAAAATTAAGTAAATATTTGCTCAACTTAGTAGCAAAAAATAAATAAGAATAGAAGCTCGAATAAGTGCATAAAAATACAGTTACCATATATCGTTAAAATCGTGGTTTGAAACCAAATCGAACTGAAAAAATTGATTTGATTGCAAAATGAAATAATTTGATTTGGTTTCGAATTTATTCAAACTATTTGAAATTATTTTGTTGAAAGTAATTCAAAAATCGATGAAATCGAATTGTGTTTACCCTGACTCCTATGATTGTGTAAGACTTCTCCAAAAATGGGAATTAGAATCTCATTTTTATTTTACAGCAAAATGTAACTACTATGTGAATTAATTTTATGCACCAAATCAACATTGTCTCTAAGAAATTAAAGATCCAAGGTTGCAAAACACTAGTCTAGATAGCTACACTTTACATGTGTTCAATTAAATATGTTATGTGACATTGCATTTAAACGAATATATAACAATGTGGATTGGTGCTTAACACTTGATTACGAATAGAATTACTTAAAAATATATATAAAGAATCCAGCAGCCGTCGCTTTTTCTTTGCAAAAATGTGTGCCCTAATTTATCATTATTAAGGCTTAGAAATTATTTTCCTAGAATCATCTTTTAAACAAAATGAAAGACTCCTAAGGAAATAACGACTCACCAAAATATTCTATAAGAAAATAGGTAAGAATATATCATTAAACCGATAAAGAAAACTCCTAAATATCGTTTAATTGATGGAGATGTCAACCCTTAAAATCTTCTTTCAAATAAAATCGTACAAATATTAGGAGATATTGACATGCAAAGAAAATATTGTCATTTTACTTTAAAATCACTTCTACATTTCAAGATTAATATGAAACTAGTATTTACATAAAAAAACACAGATTCTAGCCGAGTTGTGAGTAAGAACCTATCTGTGAATATACTGATTTGGTTAGACATATAATCACCCATACAAATTTCACACAGTGCATATTTCGACAATTAACTAAAATTTACAAAACCAATTTAATAATAAAAAAATGGCCTACTCAATTAAGAAGGTTTCTCTCCTCTTCCAAGTATAAATTATGAATTTGTTGACCGAATTGAGTTCCTTATTGCCTCTCTTTAATGTTACTTCATTACCGCGCTCGTAGTGTTAACTTTTTTCAACTCTATTAGTGACGTTTTCTTTTACTAGTCAACGTTGAACGTGCAACTAATGTTTTATAAGTATTGTAAGATAATATTTGAATATACTTGAATGTTAATTCATTTAGAATTAATATCAAAGAATATATATGTGACAATGAATCTAAAGCCATTTATTTAATTTTCAATTAAATAAAACGAAGTGTTAATTAGCAGGCATAGACGTGAATAATGAAATTCTAATTAGGATTAATAATACTGAAATGCATAAAATGAATATGAATATTAATTAAATGAATTTAAATATTAATTAATTGAGAATTAATAATAGATAATTCATACATTAATAAAAGTACATATGAGAAATGATGGTAACTAAATTGTTAAATAAATTAAATACATATTGAAAAAGGAAAATGAAGATATTATTGAAATAATTGATATAATATGATTAGATTCGTCTAAAACATTATTCGCACTTGATGTAATATTTAATATATTTTATGTATATATCGTATTATGACGAGAGGAGACATTCACGTTGGATTTGAAAGAAATGACATATATTAAAATTAATGGTATTTTCAATTTTACCTACATGTCCTTCACACGACATTTTATTAACATATAGCCCTCGATTTAACTAAAATTAAATTTTTAATAAATTTTAATAAAAAAATGATGAAATATTTAGTTAAAAAATTGATAAACGTAATGAATTTCATAAAATATGTGATTAAATTAATTATTAATTTTGACTTGAATTTTTATCAACTTTTTTTAACTAACCCAAACTCGGGCATATTTGGACGAAAATTGTCTATTGACGAGCCTGAAAACAAAATAAAAACGTGAGAGACCAACTTTCTTAATTTTACAAGTTGAGGACTAACACTGCCATTTTTCTTTCAGACTGCAAATGAGGAGAATGTCAACAGAAAAATTGTAGTTGACCTGGATAACCGAACACTACGTTCAACGAAGGTACCGAGTCTGATTGAATTGAAAGGGTCCAAAATTTTGTAGAGAAAATCAGGAATCCATCGACGAGAAACAGAATTACTGTTGCTCAATTTCAATTTAATTTTCGGTTTTCAGGTGTTAATAGCGGGAGACCAAATGTAAATAAATCCATTCAAATTACTGGTTTTGCAAAAATAATTGGAATTGGGAGAAAAAGACAAAAAGAATGTCGTCATCGTCGTCGATTTTGACGCCGGCGCAGAAGTACGCGGCAGGAGCGCTGTTTGGGCTGGCGCTGCATCAGGCTCAGATCCACCAGACTCGCCCATTGGGTTTTCCCTCTGTTGACGACGATGATGGCCGCTCGTCGGATGAGCGTGTCAGCAGTGGCAGCAGTTCTGACTCCGTTTCGGAGGATCCCCAGCTTTGGGTCCACGAATCTTCATGCCTTCTCCGCCCAATTTTCAAGTAATATTTTTCTCCCTCTATAATATGTGTGTATTTATACTTGTCCATGTGAAAATGGGAGTGGGCTTGTGGGGGTGTCTGTTTGCTTATGCAGTTGCGGCTGATAACTGAACAGGTTTCTAGAGATTGATAATAAAGCGTGGTCCGGACTCGAGGAAACTTCTGGATGTTCACCACCAAAGCATCATGTTGGAGCGGTAAGTTCTTTACCTTCTGATTACTTATTTTGCTTATAATCATTAGATGTATGCCTGACAGATCAAACTTCATAAATGCATTTGCTTTAATACATTTGGTGCGTTTCTGAAAACTGGGTAGTCAGAAATATGAATGCAACTTGATTTCCACTATATATGTCAGCAGGCGAGTGGAAGAGGCATCCCACTATCTTGAAGACAATAACCTAACCAATAAAGCTCACATCTAGATTCTGTTTTGGCAGATGAGCAAGAAATGGTATATTGTTTCTTTGTTTGCCATGAAATGAGCAAGACCCTAAGAATACAGTAGCCGATGGTAAAACACTGAATCTGATAGGTACCAACACAGATTATGAAGCAAAAGATTAAAATGTAGAATTGTATTGCTAAAAAAGTTGAATTACAAAGTGTTGTTGATTGAACTTTCGAGAGGTTCAACCCTCTCAAACACACTAATTCCAGTTTTCTAAATACCCCCCAAATGAAACTACCCTCCCTTATTAATAGATAGTTGCTTGCTTATACTACATATTCTCCTAAACCCCCACAACAAATAACTTTTAATCTGGAGTTCTATCAATATCCCGCCCACGAAATTCACCTTGTCCTCAAGGTTAAAGCCCGGAGAATTACAGACTTTGGGATATCATACAACCGAACAATTATTTATTTATTTATTTTTGCTAGAACTTCAGTCACAGTCATATCGTAAAAAGGGACGGTTCAGCCCCTTGAAGTGCGTGGACTTAATCTCGAGTATATTATCAAATAGAACCCTGAAAACCAATTGCACCTGCCAACAAAATTCTCAATTTTCAAGCCCGGCCAACCAACTTAAAATTGTGGGCAAGCCCAAAATCTATCATCACCAAGTCCTACTACCCGCCTTTGGACGCATATTGTTTTAGGAGCTGTCAGCCAACAACATAAGTTATAGATAACTCCATCAGATGTCTAATACCATTATGTTATGGCCTTGTTTGTTTCTGATTAAAATCAGATTTTAATCTAAGTCAAAGTCAAACAATCAATATTAACCACATCTTTCATGAGTTCCACAGCTTTTCAATCACACATTTCAAAAACTTCTATCACAATCTACAAAAAAACTAATTTTAATCCCCACCATGGATTTTAAATGCAATAATAGAGAAGTGAAAAAGAGAAATCAACATAAGGATTTAACGTGATTCAACAATGTGCCTACGTCCACAAGGAGTGCAGTGGAAATATTTTATTTAGTATGAATAATAAAGTTACATAATCAATATATATGTACTAACCCTAGCCCGGCCCATATAAGACTTTAGGAACCGTACAAATAAATATCCATGTACCGTACCGCGTGGGCCACCCCTTTTAATTTTAGTATCCCTGTCAAATAAATAGTAAAAAATCTCCATCTTGACAAATATTCACCCCTTGGGAAAAACAATAGAAGAAATATAGCCTGGGAAAAACACCATTTGGGACCAATAGATTGGAACAGTTCCTCTTTAACACATAAAGATATTAATCAATGCTTGAACTTGTCCATTGTGATTGGCTTTGTCAACATGTTTGCTACATTCTCTGACGTATACACCTTCTCTAGCAACATTTCTCCTAAAGTAACCAACTCCCTTATCTTGTAAAATCTTACATCAATGTGTTTGGTTCTTGCATGATAAATTTGGTTCTTTACTAAGAAGATGGTGCTCCGACCATCACAATATAGCTTCATTCCATCTTGATCCCAAGCTCCGTGTCGCCTTCTCAACCGCAATAATGCGTTTGCTGCCTCAGCTATCGCCATGTACTCTACTTCAGTTGTGGATAATGTCACAAGTAACTACACCATTGATCTCCAACATATAAGCCCCCTACTAGCGTGAAAACATACGTTGTATGAGACCTCTGTCATCCAAGTCGCATGCATAAGCTGCATCTACATATCCCTGAACTGAAACATTATGATGTTTTCTCTCAAACATGATCTTACACTCCATTGTACCTCTCAAGTGCTTAGAAAACCAATTTGCAGCTCTCCAATGCTCTCTGTTAATATTAGCCATGTACTTGCTCGCCATACTGATCAAATGTTCTAGATCTGGTTTGGTATACACCATTGCGTACATCAAACACCACACTGCACTAGCACATGGCATTTTTGACATCTTTGTACTTTCTTCTTCATTTTTTGGACACTGATTAGTACTCAATCTGAAGTGATTTGTTAATGGTGTAACCACTCGTTTTGCATCGGACATGCTAAATCTTTCCAACACTTTCTCCAAATAATTTTTCTGAGACACTCATAATTTTTTGACCTTCTTATCTCTTGATATCCATGCCAAGAATCCTCTTAGCTGGTCCCAAGTCTTTCATATCAAACTTTCTGCTCAACAAAGACTTCAATCCGTCTACCTTATATATGTTCTTAGTAGCAATTAGCATGTCATCCACATACAATATCAAAAGAATATATGAATCATAGAGAAGTTAAAAAGAGAAATCAACACAAGGATTTAATGTGGTTAAGCAATGTGCCTACGTCCACAAGGAGCGAAGCGGAGATATTTTATTGAGTATGAATAATAAGGTTACATGTCAATGTGCCTACGTCCACAAGGATTTAACATGGGTCGATTATCAGCCTCCGTTTCGTTTGGTGTGCTATGCTCCCCTCACTCCACTTTGCTCCTCTCTAGCATCGGTCTATTCTTCCAGTAAATTTGTGTTTCACACTCTATATAAGTCGCATACACAACATGTTCCTCATTTGGCACCTGTCCCTCGCTGTCATTAAGCTCTATTCTGTTGGATCTATCGTTGAATGCAAGAATTTGTAGTTCCTTGTTTCTACAATGATACCCAATTAAAAATTTCTTGTCACACTGGAAGCGCACATCCTTTTTATTTTGGACTGCAATTCGGCATCCTTAATTTGCTTGAAGGAGCTTGGTAATTTCAGATTAGGGATTGGCTTAGCAAAGGAAGTTGTTTCTGGTATACGAAGTGATGGAAGGATGAGTAATGGGCTTGGGTTGAAACCTGCATTCGTAAGCTTAGCACAAACGGGACCTAATCCCACTTAGGCCTGCTTCAATAGTAAAGTTTGGTTCTCTACCTGTTAGGCCTTATCCAAGTAATAGCTTTTTTTTTTTTTGAAAGGTTTATCCAAGTAATAGCTCAATCCAATGGAACTTAATAAACTCTCCTTAACCCAAATTTCCTGTTTAGGTTCACTAAGGCAATCTCCTTCCAATGCAGAATCTGAAATCTCCTCCAATGGCGAATCTAGAATCTCAAATCGTCGTGCGTTTTTTTTTTTCATTCACCGTGCGATCCCACTTTAATGTTGCAGATTTACAGCCAAGGGTACTCAAGCAAGCATCCAAAGATGGTATAGGATCACGGTTCATCATATTAGAGTGCGTGACTTCAAAATCTGATCACAACTTAATCAAGAACTGATCTCTCTTGCTGATTTCATGCATTGCTTGGACGAGAGAGAGCTGTAGTAGGAACATTAGTATAAACGATGTCTTAATAGTAGTCAAAAGATTTTGAAAACCAGTAAAATTTTCTTGAATTGTGTGTGATATTGGCTATCTCATACTCTAATGGAAACCTCCTAGTCATGTTGTCTTTATTGTCAATCTTTTTTAAGTAATTCCCAATGTCCTTAGCCTCAGATTGAGAATAAGATGATGCTCAACCTAGCTATTGGAACTCAAAACTCCCAAGCATAATAATTCATTCAAGTAAAACAAACGTTTGTAACAGTGATAATTTTGACCCGTCACATCCCGCCACATCTCCAATCGACCCGAACTAACCTGTAAAAATTGTAAGAGTGAGTATTTTGAAAACATCCAGTAAGATACGTGCAGTTTCCAATATACAATTATATGCAATAAAATAACACTTC